TGCGTCCATAAAGCTGTCATGGTTCCTGTTAGGGCTCCCATTGCTGCTGTTCCATCGCCCACACTCTGGCCCATCCTGTGCAACTTTTAGGTATCACGTAACACCTGTTGCTGGTGATATTGTCTGTGAATGGTCCATTTTTTGTACATGAGGGTGCTGGCCAGATTGACGGGGCCATCCCCTATAGCTAATGCCAGGCCCATAATCTGGCTATGGGCCCTATATACACGACTTCCTGCATGTGCACTCTATGGTCAGACGTCTCTCATGGGTCCAGTACAGTGGTGGGAATTTGCTGCTTGTCTCAATCGCCTTCACTATGCCATGTAGACCCACTTTCAGGTCTCCTACGACACAGCAGAAAAGGCTGATCACAGATTTCTCTGAGATAGTTAAGTTAAGCGGATTTTTTAAGGTACTCCATAGCTGCTGTAAGGCTCTAATCTAGCCATGTCAGGGCCCCTGTTACGCCTCCTCATGCGCTGCCCAAGCCAGAGTCTGTCATGGGCCCCCTGTACGGCCTCCCATTGCTGCTGTCTCCATCGCCACACACTCTGCCATGTGCCACTTTCAGGTCTCCTCACACACTGCTGGTGTGTTGAATTGTTTGACATAGGGTGCCTGGCAGATTACGGCTCCACATAGCTGCTGCCAGGGCCCTAATCTGGCCATGGGCCCCTATATACCGCCTCCTCATGCTGCTGCCAGGTCCAGAGGATCATGGATGGTCCCTGTACGGCTCCCATTGCTGTGTCTCCATCGACACGCAACTGCCAGTGCCACTTTCATGTCCTCACACTGGGCAGGAGTGGAGGTTCCCAGTTTTGTCCTGGTAGTGATGGCGATTAGCGGAGCTAGCACCCATGGACGGCCACCCAAAATCAAGGCTGTATAAAATATTAATCTCTCCATGGCGTAACCCGGACTGCCTCGATGCTGTGGACGTTGGCAACAAGGTGGAATTCAACCCATTAGCATGCTTGAGACCTGCCTTTAAGCTACGAACAGCAAAAGGCCATCACAGATTTCCTGATGTTAAAAGCAAGATAAAGGTACTCCCTGTGTAACTTAGATGTCAGCCATTGGCAGCTCATGCGTGACACCTGCGCTTTGCTCCAGGCCCCTTGAGGAGGCCACGCTATTCGTGAGTCGGCAGGACTATGGGATGAACGACGTCATTCCTCTGTTGCACGTCCTGGAACAAAATGCTGTTAACAATGGCTGGTCAGGGTGCGGTAGACGTGGCGCACAGATCTCAACGCCACATGGCCCCTGTGGGGGCAGGACTGGAAGAAGAGGAGGAGGTAGAGGAGGACATTGGTGCTCAGGAATTATTGAGTGAAATGGGTGGTTTTTCCACTCAGCGGACAGGAGTGGAGGGGAGCAGGAGCATCTGGTAGAGGAGGAGGAAGAGGAGACAGAGGACCTAGACGCACCGTGGCAGTATGCTGTGGAGATGGAGGCAGGGAGTCCCTCGCATTCCTTGGCACAAATGGCCCATAGCATGCTCGGTGCTTGCTTTGCGTAGCGACAGCCGAATAATAACCATCAGACAGAGGGATGACTTTTGGCTGTCCACCTTGTTGGACCCTACGCGCTACCGTTCAAAAATGGTGGCCTTTTTCACACCTGCTGAGAGGGAGCCAAAATAACGTACTATAAAAAAACACCTATGTAGTCAGCTGGTCTCTGCCTGTCTGCGCCAACGTCCATTACCTCAGACACTGTGGGCCCTGTGCGCTCGTGTTCCGCTGCCATGGCAGCAGGGGAGGGGTGGGGTGGTAGGAGCAGTGGCAGCTCCACCAGCAGCGGCTGCCTCAGTCTGCAGTCGATGATGAGTAGCTTTCTTCACCAGCGCAGTGAGGAAACTACTAACCAGCAAGCGCAGCAGCAGCAGCAGCAGCATCAGGTGGACCTGGAGCAGGACCTCAAACAACAGGCTTAGGCCTACTTGGACAGCACCCTGCCAACCGAGGTAGACAATCCCCTTGACTACTGGGCAACGAAACTTGACCTTTGGCCCCAACTAGCTGAATTTGCCCTTGAAAGGCTGTCATGCCCGGCCAGTAGCGTGGCATCGGAGCGCGTGTTTAGTGCGGCAGGAGGTATTGCAACTCCGCGGAGGACACGACTGTCCACCCAAAGTGTGGAGAGACTGACGTTTGTGAAAATGAATCAGGCGTGGATTAGTCTGGATTTCAAACCACCAGTTCCTGACACAACTGACTAAATCCGCCATGAATCATGCCCCAAACATGTGCCACTTTCAGGTCTCCTCACACTGCTGGTGTGTTTCCATTTTTTGTCATAGGGTGCTGGCAGATTACGGGCCTCCCATAGCTGCTGCCAGGCCCCTAATCTGCCATGGGCCCCTATACCGCCTCCTCATGCTGCTGCCAAGTCCAGAGTCTCTCATGGTCCCTGTACGGCTCCCATTGCTGCTGCCTCCATCGCCACACTCTGCCATGTGCCACTTTCAGGTCTCCTCACACTGCTGGTGTGTTCCATTTTTTGTCATAGGGTGCTGGCAGATTACGGGCCTCCCATAGCTGCTGCCAGGCCCCTAATCTGCCATGGGCCCCTATACCGCCTCCTCATGCTGCTGCCAGGTCCAGAGTCTCTCATGGGTCCCTGTACGGCCTCCCATTGCTGCTGTCTCCATCGCCACACTCTGCCATGTGCCACTTTCAGGTCTCCTCACACTGCTGGTGGGTTCCATTTTTTGTCATAGGGTGCTGGCAGATTACGGGCCTCCCATAAGCTGCTGCCAGGCCCGTAATCTGCCATGGGCCCCCGTACCGACTCCTCATGCTGCTGCCAGGCCCGTAATCTGTCATGGGCCACTGTTGTCGCTTGTTGGCATATTCCGCTCGTTCAGATGCTCCTTCTCCTGCTACTCCTCTTCACGGATTCCGTCAGCAGTCTTTTCTTGGAATCCGTTTCCAAGAGACAACAGTTTGCGAGCACGCACCCGACGGTGCAGAAGCTGAACGTCCTCCTGTCCAAGTTGCTGCTGCCAGGCTCGTAATCTGTCATGCGCCCCTGTACCGCCTCCTCATGCTGCTGCCAGGTCCAGAGTGTGTCATGGGCCCCCGTACCGACTCCTCATGCTGCTGCCAGGCCCGTAATCTGTCATGGGCCCCTGTACCGCCTCCCCATGCTGCTGCCAGGTCCAGAGTGTGTCATGGGTCCCTGTACGGCCTCCCATTGCTGCTGCCAGGCCCGTATCTGCCATGGGCCCCTGTACCGACTCCTCATGCTGCTGCCAGGCCCGTAATCTGTCATGGGCCCCTGTACCGCCTCCTCATGCTGCTGCCAGGTCCAGAGTGTGTCATGGGTCCCTGTACGGCCTCCCATTGCTGCTGTCTCTATCGCCACACTCTGCCATGTGCCACTTTCAGGTCTCCTCACACTGCTGGTGTTTCCATTTTTGTCATAGGGTGCTGTATGGCCTCCCATTGCTGCTGCCGTCCACCGCCACACTGTGGCTCCACACTCTGGTTTTGGCCCCGTGACTGCCCAAATGAGTGAAGTGTGCGGTGATTCTAAGATCGACGGCACTCATCTGCAAAACTGCATGTCATACTGACTGACAGTATTATTTCTCTTCCCCAGCAGACTCCAAGGGCATTTAAATTAAAGGTACAGTGTTCTGCACTAATATTAAGTCTCTCTGAAGCCTAGAAACACCCTTTTTTAAGTTAAATTCACAGCGAATTTATTCGACTCGAATCGAATATTGTCCACGAATTCGCCGAATCAGTCGAATCGAATTTTTCATTTCTTCGCTCATCTCTAATGAGTAGGAAAACAATGTTATGGATGTCAGGTGGCCGGATATTCCAAAGTGTGGGGCAGAGCATCTAAAGGCTGTCAGTTCCATAGTGGTTAGTTGGGTGGATGGAACATTGAGATGGATGGAAGAAGAAGACCTGAGAGCGTGGGAAGGTCTGTTGATATGCAGAAGTTCAAAGCGGTACGGAGAAGCAAGGTTTTTGGTTGACCTTAAAGAAAAGTAACATGATCTTGAAATCAATACGATATTTGACTGGAAGCTAGTGAGGGTGCTGAAGGACAGAAGTGATGTGATTAAAGGAGGGGGTTCTAGTGCTCATGTGAGCAGCAGAGTTCTGAACCAGTTGCAGTCTATGGAGGGACTTGAGAGGGAGACTAAAAAGACGGGAATTGCAGTAATCTATGTGGGAAGTGACCAGATAAATGAGAATGACAGTGCAGTTTGGGGATGAGGAATGGACAGAGGTGATTAATCTTATGTAGATGGAAATATGCTGACCGAGTGACATTACTGATGTGAGCTTGGAAAGATAGTGTACTGCCAAGGATGACTCCCAGACTGTGTACCTGAAAAATATTAAGCTTTGTCAAGGTGGATTTCATACCACTGAGGAGAAGCTCGGTTTTGTCACTGTTTAATGTAAGAAAGTTAGAAGAGATCCAGGATTTGATTTCCTGTAAACAATTGAACTTTCTTTGGCAGCACAGTAAAAATGCTCCTGGTGTCCTATGGGAAAATGTAGCTTTGCTGCCATCCTGCAGAATTCCGCAGTCTCTCCTAGGGACTACGCGTCCAATTGTGCAATGCAACAGTCCAAGTCCTCCCCCAGCTGCCTATTGGCTGTGCAGCAGCCACTGTCAAAAGCAGGGAAGAGGAGACCAGCATGCTGCACTTCTACATAGGCAGCAGTGTTGGTGGGGGGAAGGAAGCCCACGGCACAGCCACTTCTTCCGCTGGGTCCCTGATTACACAGTGCTGTCAGGATACGGGTGTTCTGCGGCATCGCGTCGGGCGGCGCATGCGCAGAACACCAACACTCACTACCCGGCGGCGGTAGGACCTGGGCGCGCATGGCGGCGGGCGGGGTTCGCGCATGCGCACTCGGGATCGCGGAGGCGCGCCTGCACCAATGACAGCGGGAGGCGGGCTATTTAAACATAGGAACAGGTATGTCAAGTTGCCGTTTGGTCTTGTATCTTGTTCCTGATTCTGTGTTACTGTATACTCCGCTGCCGACCTCTGCTTGTTCCTGATCTTGCTCTTCTCCTGCTTAACCCCTGGCTTGCCTGACTATTCTTCCGTCTGATCCCTGGTACTCATGTATTTGCTCTCACCCTGCTGAACCTGGCTTGTGACCTGACCATTCTTAGCTCGCTCCTATTGTACCTCGCTGCCCGCATAATACCGACCCGGCCTGTCTGACCATGCATACCATACCCGACCATCCATCCATCCATTCAGCTCGGATCAGACCAGTGTATCTGTCTGCCTTTTCCAATTAGATTCCGTTCCTGCACTCCCCTGTCAGTACTCTCTTCCACCGCAGGACACACTCGGGGGTCGCAACCTGGTCCCTTCGGTCTGTGTAACGCCCCCGCCACCTTCCAGCACTTCATTAACAATGTGTTCAGGGACTTCTTGGATATCTTTGTGGTCATCTATCTTGATGATATTTTAATTTTTTCTGCATCTCTGGAGGAGCATAGAGTCACGTCAGGGAAGTGCTGGAAAGGCTCCGTTTGCATGGTTTATACACAAAGGCGGAAAAATGCAGTTTTGAGCAGCACAGTATTCCCTTCTTAGGCCTAGTTATTTCTACTACTGGAATAGCGATGGATCCCCAGAAGATCTCCGCAGTTCTGGAATGGCCGGTGCCGTTGGATAAAAAGGGGGTTCAGCGGTTCATTGGCTTTGCCAACTTTTACCGGAAATTCATTAGGAATTTTTCAGGCCTGGTATCCCCTATCACGCAACTTGCCAAACAAGGAATGCATTTCAAATGGACACCTGAGGCGCAAGAAGCCTTTGAGTCCCTAAAGAGGTTATTCACCGAGGCCCCAGTATTGAGCCATCCTGATTCTTCACTACGCTACATCTTGGAGGTGGATGCATCCGAAAACGCGGTTGGGGCTGTGCTTTCCCAAAGGAAGGGCATCAAGGAATTGATGCATCCCGTGGCATTTTTCTCCAGGAAACTGTCTTCTGCAGAAAGGAACTATGACAGGGGACCGAGAACTCCTGACCATCAAGGCAGCGTTGGAGAAATGGAGGTACATTGCTGGAAGGAGCCGTGCACCCGATATTGATTTTCACGGATCACAAGAACCTTGAATATTTAAGAACGGCAAAACGCTTGAGACCAAGACAGGCTAGGTGGGCACTTTTTTTCTCTCGGTTTTGTTTCACATTACTTATAGGCCTGGATCAAAGAACATGAAACCAGATGCTCTTTCGCGTATGTTCGAAGACCCAGAGGAGTCCCACAAACCTGACACCATGCTGTCTTCTGGTAATTTTCTGACATTACAGACTGAGCTACGTTCCCAACTACAGGCAGCATCCATAGGGGCTCCAAATGTTCCGGGGGTGCCGCTACAGAATAGAGACGGATTATGGTGGAAAAGAAGGACGAATCTTGGTACCAGACAAATCTCGCACTACGGTCTTGGGTCATTGCCATGACCATCCCCTGGCTGGCCACTTCGGGACCTAGAAGACTTTGGAACATCTGCAACGTATGTTCTGGTGGCCCAGCATGTCCAAGGATTGCGAGGCTTACGTAAAGACCTGCGCGGTCTGTCAAAGCAATAAGCCTTCCAGGAACAAGGCTTGGGGGCTCCTGCGACCCTTACCCATACCTAACAGACCGTGGGAAATGATTTCAATGGACTTCATTGTGGAACTTCCTCCATCTCAAGACCATACCGCCATTTTTGTGATTGTGGACCGCCTATCCAAGATGGCCCACTTCGTGCCTCTCAAAGACACACCATCCGCTGCGGAGACAGCACGAATTTTTGTGAAAGAGGTGGTAAGACTCCATGGAGTTCCTAAGGATATAGTTTCAGATAGAGGAGCCCAGTTCACCTCCAAATTTTGGAAGGCACTATGCGAGACCTTGGGAATCAAGTTATCTCTCTCCTCGGCATATCATCCACAGACCAATGGACAGACGGAACGTACAAACCAAACCTTGGAACAATATCTCCGATGTTATAACATCGTCATTTCTTCAGGATGATTGGCTAACTCTTTTACCACTGGCCGAATTTGCTTACAATAATACAAGCCACTCGACTACTCAGCAATCCCCATTTTTTTTGCCAATTACGGCTTCCACCCGACTTTTTTACCTGACACAATTCCTGAAAGTTCGGTGCCAGCTACACAGGACATGTTGCACTTCCTTTCTACAAACAATAGGGTCTTACAAGAAGCAATCCTGAAGGCTTAGGAGGGCAGTAAGAAAGCCTTTGACAAAAAGAGAAGAGGGGAGCTTATTTTACACCCAGGGGACCAGGTCTGGTTGGCCACGACAAACCTTAAGATGACATGCCCGTCAAGAAAATTGGGACCAAGATTTATGGGCCCATTTCAGGTTAACGAAAGTGGCGTACGAGCTCTTACTCCCGGAATCCTTTAGAATTCACTCGGTATTTCAAGTATCTCTGTTGAAACCCGCGGCACCGGACCCATTCCCGAACCGGAGATCTAGGCCTC